GTCAGAGAGATTTCCCATTTTATTAATTCCTATACGTATTTATCAGAACAAATATAATGTTATTGCAAAATTTTGGATAAAATTAGTATCAGAAAATTTTCTACAATTAAAATTTGAACTTATATGCAACTGCATATGCAACTGCATATGCAACTACCACATTTTTTAAATTCAAATTCAACGCCAATTGTTAATATAAAACTTAATCAAAGGCAATTAAGAAAATCCAATCGGTAAAAATTAGTAGAAAAATTAAGTTTAAAGTAATTGCTATGAAAATTTCACGAATATTGTATGATTAAATATTATAAAATTAGGCATGAAAAGGATCACCCGTAATAATATTTCTTTTGTGATAGGAATTTTAGCGAAAATTTTCATAATTGAAGATTAAATAAAATAGGAAATATTGATGTACAATTTATAAATAGCCAATTAAATTATAAATATTTAAAAAACATTCTCTTCTTATTAATTTTATTTTTAATTTTTAATTCATAAAAATGTAGAAAAAGTGAAAAAACAAAGAACGAACAAAAAATTGCATGAAAGTTGATTTTAAAAGATTTTCGGTTTTATTTTCTTCTCAACAAAATAGAGTGAGGAAGAAAAAGCATGTGCAGAAAAATAAGAAATAATGATAGCTTGGATGCAATCTTCTATCAAAAATTTTTTAAAAATTAGAGTTCTTCAATAACTAACAAAATTTTGCAAAAAAACTTTGTCAAAAAAATGATATTTTAGATTTAAAAGATTAATAGCCAACCGACTATTTATGCGAGACTCAATGGGTTGTTTTTTAAGCTGCCAAAATAAACTTTTCAGAATTCTATAAATAAGCGATTTTATCATATAAAGCTACTTGCACTTCAAGCATTACTGAATAGATGCTATTGTTCACAGTGGTGTTTGTTTTCATAGAAATTCTCAAACGGTACAAATATTTTTTATTTTTATCAAAAAATTCATTTCTCCAAAGAAATCATTTTAAAAATATCGTCAACATTTGCACTGTATTTAGCTGACGATCAGGCTGTGTCAACAGATTTTCTTCTGCATTTAAGGAGAAATGAATAACAATCCGGCAGCCTTCGGTAAAACGCAGACGTCGCAATGCCGAGGACAATTACGTTACTGGCAATATTCGCTTTTCTCGTCGATTTCGCTGTCACACTTGATAGGTAAATACAATTTCTTGTGAAATTTGATAGTTTCCTTCAGGTACTGTAGCCGAATTAGAGAGTGCATGAAGAAGCATTACTGTAACGTAAAAAACTCGAAGAAAATGACTGAGAAAAATTAAGAAAGAAGTTTTTCCTGAGACCAATCTTTACAACGGTCATTTAGGTGACAAACAATGTCTGAAATTAATACACATTAGTTAAAAAATGTATTCTTATGAGATAATATGCAAAATCTGTAAGCATACAGACAATATTGCACAGTATTCAATACTACAATATGGCATACAGACAGCATTCAAAAGCAAAATATATACGTAATACGGTTACTCACCTGTGTTATGTTCGAGAAATACCAAAAAAACTAATAGTTCGGGATTATTAACTTAATTGTACCAAGGAAAATTAATTAGTGCTTAAAAAATGTTCAAAATTTCAGTGAAATGCAACAGCTAGAAGAAGTTATCAAAGAATTCGACGATGATTACAAACAGGGCAATATGTCGAAGCTTTCGTCGGATTTCAAAGGCGCACTCAAAAAATACGGCGATGGTTTCTTTTTTCATTTTTATTCGATTTCAAATTTTAAAATTTTGTGATGAATAAAATTATAAATTAAATAAGATAATTTTGATCGTGATTTATTGCACAAAGTTTTTATAAAAAGAGTTAAATTTAAAAATTGATGAATTTTCGTATTTTCAGGACAAAATCAGTGAGTTCAACATTGTTTCGTTGTTCATATTCGGTTGATATCCGTCGAATACGCCCGAAGCATATAATAATAAATTTAGAAATTGCTCGCTCTGCGCACGTTCTGATTATATTTTTTCTTTTTTCCGCACACTTTTTTATGGCCAACAAATAAAACACTCCACGAAATAGCCATCCATGTTAAATTTATTTTTAGATCACACAGGTACTTTAACTAATAGAATAAGCGTAAATCATTATTTCTAGAAATGAATATCGAATATTGTTTAAAATGCGAAGAAAATTGAAGTTTATCAAATCTTCAAATATTGCTATTTCGTGGACTATTTAGTCATTCTCATTTGAATTTAATTGTTTTCAATGAATTTGATAAGTGTAAAAGAGAATTAACTTCAATTTTTTGCCCACAAAACTCTTAAAAATGAATTCTATCCAAAATAAATCCAAAATAAACTGTAACTCTCAATAGGAAACCAACTATCGTGCAAGAATTTCTGAAGAAAATGGAAGACAATGGTGATTTACAAACAATGAAGAAATTAGAAACGGAATGGAATAATTTCAAAGCTGTTCTTGGTATTTCATCAATAAATATTTCAGAAAAATTATTCTGCTCCATTTGAAAATTAAAATATTTGCTTGGAAGACTAAAAATTTTATTTAAAATGATAATATAACAATCGGATAATTTTCGCTATTTGTAGGAAAACATTACGATCAAAGTGAAAACAGTTTAAGAATGGCAGTATTTGAAAGTAACGAATTATTCACGGAAAAGATGAATAAAGAATTTGAGAAGGGTTTAACAACTTATAAAACTGGCATGAATGAATTAGCTGATTTGGTAAGTAAAGTGCAATTTGGTACTAATATGTGGTATATTTGGATGCTGTGAGAATTGATTAATTATATTCATTTTTGTTTCCAGAAATTATATTTATTAAAAAGTAAGTACTT